GAGCAGCCCATAATTACACCGGGTCATTAAGCTGGATGGGGAGATGCACTTTGCTGCATGCACGCTGGCTGAGCTGCATAAAGCTGCGTCCCTGTGTCCTGCTGCCCCATCCCCAATCCCCCTGTGTCCCTGCATCCCAGTGTCCCTCTACCCTTGTGCTCCTGAATCCCTGTGCCCCTGCATCCCTGTGTCCCTGCATCCCAGTGTCCCACTGCCCCATCCTCCATCCTCACTCCCCCTGTATGCCTGCATCCCAGCATCCCTGCATCCCAGTGTCCCTGCATCCCTGTGTCCCTGCATCCCTGTGTCACACTGTGCCATCCTCCATCCTCAATCCCCTGTATCCCTGCACCCGTGTCCCCCTTCACTGTCCCCAGTTCCCCCATGTCCCTACATCCCTGTGTCCCTACATCCCTATGTCCCACTGCCCCATCCCCACACCCCCCATGTCCCTACATCCCTGCATCCGTGTGTCACCCTGTGCCATCCTCAATCTCCCTGTCCCCCGCATCCCCGTGTCCCTGCATCCCTATGTCCCCCTGCCCCATCCCCAGGCCCCCCATGTCCCAGCATCCCTGTGTCCTGCCCCACTGTCCCGAGGCCCGCAGGGTGACAGGGAAGCAGGGACATCCCCACACTGCGTCCTTGTGCTGCTCAGCAATGGTTCTCTGTCCTCCGAGCAGCTGGGGCCTGGCTCCGTGCATGGTGCTGGTGACAATGACGTGCCAGCCCCTGGGGGGGGACACTGGGTGCCAGCCCCATGGGGGGGACCTGCTTCATGCTCAGACCCACGTCTGACCCATGGGGCAGAGGCAGAGGTGATGCTCAGGGGCAACCTTCATGGGAGGGTCCTCAGAGATGGGGACCTTAGGGACTGATCTTGGGGATCGGGTCCATGAGGCCCTGGTCACAGCAATGGGAATGATGACAGCTGGTTCCAAGCAGCTGACTCCTGATTGCTGCGATGGGGAGGGAACGGTGGGGCTCATACCCAGCACCCCAAACCCTCGGTGGGGCTATGCCCTTTTCCATAGCGATGAATCCCAGAGAGTCTGGATCTGGGCAATTCCCGCCCAGTGATGTGGGGAAACTGAGGCTGGGGTGGAGGAAGAGCCTTGGCAAAGGGTGAAGACAGGAGTGAGGTGACCACGATCCTGTGCCACCCCTGGGGCTGGTCCCCATCACCCGGTGCCATGACCAGAGGCTGGTCCCCATCACCCTGTGCAACCCCCAGGGCGCGTCCCCATCACCCGGTGCCATCACCCAGGGCTGGTCCCCATCACCCAGGGCTGGTCCCCATCACCCGGTGCCATCACCCAGGGCTGGTCCCCATCACCCGGTGCCACCCCTGGGGCTGGTCCCCATCACCCAGGGCTGGTCCCCATCACCCGGTGCCACCCCTGGGGCTGGTCCCCATCACCCAGGGCTGGTCCCCATCACCCGGTGCCATCACCCAGGGCTGGTCCCCATCACCCGGTGCCACCCCTGGGGCTGGTCCCCATCACCCAGGGCTGATCCCCATCACCCTGTGCCATGACCAGAGGCTGATCCCCATCACCCTGTGCCACCCCTGGGGCTGGTCCCCATCACCCTGTGCCATGACCAGAGGCTGATCCCCATCACCCTGTGCCACCCCTGGGGCTGGTCCCCATCACTCTGTGCCACCCCCGGGGCTGGTCCCCATCGCCCAGGGCTGGTCCCCATCACCCGGTGCCATCACCCAGGGCTGGTCCCCATCACCCAGGGCTGGTCCCCATCACCCTGTGCAACCCCTGGGGCTGGTCCCCATCACCCAGGGCTGGTCCCCGTCACCCGGTGCCATCACCCGGGGCTGGTCCCCATCACCCTGTGCCACCCCCAGGGCTGATCCCCATCACCCGGTGCCACCCCTCCTTGGCAGGACGCGGTCCCGGCCCCCGGGCCGCTGTCCCCGGGCCCCGGCGGGGTCTGGCCGGTGGGAGCCCCCCGCGATGGCCGCTAGATGGCCCCGCGGCTCCGCCGGGAGCGGGGGGGCTGCGGGATATGGGGATGCAGGGAGCAGGATGTGGGGTGCATGGAGAGGGATGGGGGGTGCAGGATGGGGGGTGCAGGGAGCAGGATATGGGGTGCATAGAGAGGGATGTGGGGTGCAGGATGGGGGGTGCAGGGAGCAGGATATGGGGTGCATAGAGAGGGATGTGGGGTGCAGGATGGGGGGTGCAGGGAGCAGGATATGGGGTGCATAGAGAGGGATGTGGGGTGCAGGGAGCAGGATGTGGGGTGCAGGATGGGGGGTGCAGGGAGCAGGATATGGGGTGCATGGAGAGGGATGGGGGGTGCAGGGAGCAGGATGTGGGGTGCAGGATGGGGGATGCAGGGAGCAGGATGTGGGGTGCAGGATGGGGGGTGCAGGGAGCAGGATATGGGGTGCATAGAGAGGGATGTGGGGTGCAGGGAGCAGGATATGGGGTGCATGGAGAGGGATGTGGGGTGCAGGGAGCAGGATGTGGGGTGCAGGATGTGGGGTGCAGGGAGCAGGATGTGGAGTGCAGGATGTGGGGTGCAGGGAGCAGGATGTGGGGTGCAGGGAACGGGATGTGGGGTGCAGGGAACGGGATGTGGGGTGTAGAGAGAAAGATGCAGGATGTGAGGTGCAGGGAGCAGGATGTGGGGTGCAGGATGGGGGATGCAGGGAGCAGGATGTGGAGTGCAGGATGTGGGGTGCAGGGAGCAGGATGTGGGGTGCAGGATGTGGGGTGCAGGATGTGGGGTGCAGGGAACGGGATGTGGGGTGTAGAGAGAAGGATGCAGGATGTGAGGTGCAGGGAGCAGGATGTGGGGTGCAATGTGGGAGGTGCAGGGTGCCACACAGGGGTGCAGGTTTGGGGTGCAGGCTGCAGCACACAGCAGGACCCTGCTGCTGCCGGACTCACAGGGACCCTGGCGGTGCCACCCAAGGGTGCTTTGGGGGGCATTTCCCTGTAAGCCCATGTCCCCATGGGGGATGCTCACAGGGGTGGGGGCACCCAGGAGCACCTCCCTGCATCCCCTCAGGGATGTTTCTGCCTCCGTCACCCGGGTTTGGTGGATTCATGGGGGTGTCTCCCCCACGACGTGCGGGGGGTTGAGCCCCTACGAGCCACCAGCGAATCCCCCCAGCACCCAGGGGAGCAGCAGGACCCTTGGCTCCTGGGAGATGCGAGGCCAAACCAGGGCCCTTCACATTCACCCCGGTGAAAGCTCCCCCTCTGCAGCTCCTGCATCCACCGGGGGTCGCGCGTGTCGGGTGTGTATTCTCTGATGTCTGATAGCGCGGCTGTGCACGCAGCATCGCTGCACCAGAGCTGCACAGCCGGGGAGAGAGGGGTGCTGGGCACCCCACAAAGGGCCCTGCTCCCCATGGATTTCCCACCCCATCCATAAGCGAGGCTGGGGAACTGGCTGGGGAGGAGGCGCTGAGCAGCTCCTGGGAGACAAGAGGAGCAGGAGCAGCAGTGTCGTTATGGCACATCCCTCTCCTCCCTCTTTTATCTGGACACCACCCTGAGGCTCCGTGGCTTTGGGGTGGGGATGTTGGGTGATGGAGCATCCTTTTAGCACCCCTCTTCCCCCTGCACGCTGCAGTGGGGTGGTCCCAAGGGTCCCCTCTATGGCTCAGCGCATGCAGGGGAGCAGCACCCCCAAAATCCCTGGGGAAAGGATGGGGAGGGGCCATTTCCCACTGCTGGTGATGGGGGATAGGAAGATGGGGGTGAGCGGCTCCTGCACCCGTGGGGGGTAAAATCGAGGTCCCCCCTATCCGAGAAGGGGATGCTCTCTGTGATATTCCCCAGGGATGGGAGGGAAGCTGGGGTCTCTCCATACAGAGCCCTGCAGCAGAGCCACCCCCAAGCCAGGAATGGGCATCGCTGCTTACAAATGGGGTGAAGCTTCCAGTTCCCCACTGGGGAGGACTGGGGGGGGGACCCCAACCTTATCCTAGGGAACAGCCCCTAAGAAGGGGTCTGAAGAGGGGTGTTGGGGGTGATCCCCGTTGATGAAGGTGCCCCAAACCCCACCAAGGGTTCAACATGGGATTTAGGGGGGATTCCCCTTCTCTGCCTCAAAGCGACCCCCTCCGAGCCCCCCAGCCCCATAGAAGCCCGTGGAGCCGCTGTCCCGCAGTAGACGCGGTGCGGAGCAGGGCGAGGGGTTTCTATGGGGGGCTCCCCCTTACCTGCCCCATAGGAGACCCCGCCTACCCCAGAACCCCCCCACAGGGCCCTCCTCATCCCCATCGGAGCGTGTGAACGCGATGCGGAGCGGGTCGGGAGGGGACGGAGCGGGTCGGAGGGTACCCTATGGGGGTTCCCATTTATCTGCCCCATAGGGGACCCCCTCAGAGATTCCCCCCCCCCCTCCAGCCCCATAGGAGCCCGCGGGGCCGCTGCCTCGCAACGGGTGCGGTGCGGAGCAGGGCGGGGGGGGGCGGAGCGGGGCGGGGGGGGGAGGCGGTGGCGGGGCTCAGCCCTGGTCGGAGCCGGGAACCGGGATCTGGGAACCGGGATCCAGAGCCGGGAGCCGGGATCCGGAGCAGGGAGCTGGGATCAGGGATCCAGAGCCGGGATCAGGGATCCGGAGCCGAGAGCCGGGATCAGGGATCCAGAGCCGGGATCAGGGATCCGGAGCCGAGAGCCGGGATCAGGGATCCAGAGCCGGGATCAGGGATCCGGAGCCGAGAGCCGGGATCAGGGATCCAGAACCGGGAGCTGGGAGCCGGGATCCGGAGCAGGGAGCTGGGATCAGGGATCCAGAACCGGGATCCGGAGCCGGGATCAGGGATCCAGAACCGGGATCCAGAGCCGGGATCAGGGATCCGGAGCCGGGAGCCGGGATCAGGGATCCAGATCGGGATCAGGGATCCAGAACCGGGAGCCGGGATCAGGGATCCGGAGCCGGGATCAGGATCCGGAGCTGGAGCCGGGGTCCGGGATGGTGCCGGGGCTCCCGCATGTCCTCACCGCGCTCCTTCACTTTTTCAGACGGGGCCAGCAGGTTTTCCTGAAGGCGGAGGACGCCGCGCCCGGCTCCGAGGTGCTGCAGGTAGGGGCGGCGGGACCCCCCCCGGCTCACCCCATGCTCCCTTCCCATCCGATCCCCATCCCCACCGCTCCCTTCCCAAGCAGGTCCCCCGCTCCTCCTCCTCCCATCCCACCCGAGACCCCCGAGCCGCTTCCCTTCCGGACCGGATCCCCATCCCGACCGCCTCCCATCCCACCCAGGACCTTCTATCCTCATCCCTTCCCAACCGGGATCTCCATCCCGGCTGCCTCCCACCCCATCCAGACCCCCCCCGACCTGCTTCCTTTCCCAGCAGGGACCCCCAACTCACCTCCGTTCCCACCCAGGACCCCTAATCCTCCTCCCCTCCCACCCCTGATCCCCGTCCCGACCGCCTCCCATCCCACCGGGGACCTTAATCCTTCTCCCATCCCACCCTAGACCCCCATTCCAACCTCCTCTTATCCCACCCGGGACCCCTAATCCTTCTCCTTTCCCACCCACGACCCCCATTCCAGCCACTTCCCACCCCACCCAGGTCCCCTAATCCTCCTTCCATCTCCCCCAGGACCCCCATCCCGACCGCTTCCCATCCCATCCTTGACCCCCATTCCAACCTCCTCCCATCTCACTCTAGACCCCCAATCCTCCCTTCCCACCCCAGATCCAGGACCCGTGTGGGATGGATGCGCCGGGCTCTGGGGGTCCCCGGGTTTATACTGGGAGGTGGGGGTGTCCCTGTGCTCATTGCAGCGGGACCGGGGGCTGCGGGACCCCTGTTCTCATCGGGAGAGCCCTATGGGGAAACTGAGGCACGGAGCGGCCGGGGGGGGGTCCCGTGGTGGGGATGGAAGCGCCGTGTCCGTGTGTGCCCCCCCCGTGGGCTCAGGGACACGAAGAGCTCCGTGTCCCACGGAGGAAGGAGGCGGGGGGGGGGCGGAGGAAATGGGCTGGAGCGGGCGGTCCCGATCCCGATCCCGGTGTCGATCCCGGTGGATCCGCGCAGCCGGGAGCCGGGGCCGCGCCATGGGCACCCTCCAGGACACCGTGAGCCACCCGCGGGGGGGTCACCGGGAAACGGGGGGGGGGGTGTCGGTGTAAAGGGGAGGGGATCCCTATGGGGGGTTGTATGGATTTGGGGGTGCGAAGTGCTTGGGAGAGGCTGGGAATGCGGGGCTGGGGAGTTGGGGTCCCCTCTGTGTCCCCCTGCCCCGCTCTGCCGGCAGCGTGTTCCCTATGGGGCCAGTCCTAAGGTGGGAGGTGTTGAGAAGGGGGGTGCTGAGAAAGGGGGTGTCCCCCAGACCCCCCCCCAGCACCCTGCTTGAGCCCTCATCTCCCGCTTTGCACCACACTGGGGGGCAGGAGGGTGCCCCCCATCTGGTCCTTGGTGCTCCTGTGCTTCCAGACGCACCCGGATTTAGGGGGTGACTTGGGGGGGGGGGGTCCCCCAACCTGGAGCGGTTCCGTCCGTCCGCCTGCTCCTATCCCCGATCCCGGTGTCCCATGGTTTGGGGTGGGGGGGGGGGGGGGTGAGAGCCGTGTCCGTGGGGCTGGGGTTGGGATGGGAGGTTCGGGGGTCGGGGGGGCTCCAGGGTCAAGGCTGGAGCGAGGCAGAGCCATGGAGCTTTGGGAAGCGAAGGGAAGGAAACGGGAAGCAGCCGAAAGCTGCTGACGGAGGGGGAAGGAGCGGAGCGGGGCCGGTCCCTGCCCCAGGGTCCGCTGAGCCCCCTGCGAGGGTTGGGGACATCCCCGCACAGGGACAGGGGGTGGCTTCTATAGGGCAGGGCAAAGCGGCTTTGCCTATGGGGGGGGGGGGAGTCCCTCTGGGTCCCAGCACCCAACTAGAGCCATGGGGGTGCTGGGGGTATCTATGGGGGTATATAGGGCTTGGGGGTCATTGCCCCCCTCCGAAACACCCCGCTCTGGGGTGAGGCTGAAGATGTCTGTGCCTCCTCTTCCTCCCAATGCAATTATGGGCTGACTGGTCCATGAATCAAAGCCTAATTGAGGACGTGTTGGCAGCCTGGTTAAGCAGGAAGGAGCTTGGGGGGGGGGGGGTATGGTGTGCCCAGGGGTTTAGGGGTGTCCACACTGTGCCATAGGGCTGGGGGGTGTCCGCACTGCACCCACACATTGGGGAGACCCCATTTGGGTGCTCTGTCCCGTCCCGTCCCCCCCGCCCCATCATTCTACCCCCACAGGAGGTGCTGGCAGGGCTTGGGGTGCCGCGCTGTGGGGCTGCTCCTGCCTCGGTTCCCATGTGTGGGGCCGGGATCCGAGCTGGACACGGGTGCTCCAGGCGCCCATCCCGGTGCTTCCTCCCGCGGACACAAACACATCAGGCAGGGCCATAAAGGGGAGGAAAAGGGCCGAGGCTCAACAATGCGCCCAGGGCGCTTCTTTCCATGGGGCGGGGCCGGGCCGGCTTCCTCCCCACCCCACCGAGCTGGGGGGGCAGAGATAGAACCCCCATATTGGGGGGGGGGGTGTGTGCACCCCATTGCTCCCCATTGAGGGGTCCCCAACGGCTAAAGCACTGTGTGCACGGCGGCAAAAGAAGTGATGGGTTGTGGGTGCAGCATCCCCCCGTGCAGGCACTGTGTGTGCCACGGCAGTGATCTGGGGGGTGCTCAGGCTGTGGGTCCTGGTCCTCCCCTGCCCCATGGGGTCACATCGGGCTTGTGGGCACCTCCAGGCATGTGGAAGTTGGGCTGGGATGTGGGAATAGCCTGGTCATGGAGGGAGAGACATGCGGGGTGAGGATAGAGACTGGATGGATGTGGGATGCTCTTGTTGCACCCCAAGGGACGGAGATGGGGTTTGGGTGCTGCTGCTGCACCCATGCAGGGGATAACTGTGGTTTGGGTGCTGCTATCATCAGGTCGGGAGCTTGGAGGGGGGGGGGGGCTGACCATTGGAATTTGCTGGAAGAGAGGAATTTCTCGCTCCGGTCCCTCATCCATCCGCGGCTCTTTGGAACCGCACCGAGGCATTTAGCAGGGAGCTGGTGGCACTGAGTGGGGGTCAGGGTGCTCCGGGAGGGCTGGACCCACGGCTCTATTGATTCCTTGCTGGAGCATCCATGGGAACGCTCCTCCCTGCAGGATGAGGAGCCAAAGCACCTCTTGGTGGTGACTCCATGGATGTGGGATGGGGCTGGATCCTTGCTGGATGCAGCCACCTCGCTGTGGATATGGAGGGATGCAGATGGGGAGCAGGGCTGGTTCCAAGACTCCCTGTTCTTGGCTCCAGAGAGGGAATCGCTGCTCCCAGCCCGGCTCCATCGGGATGCTGCCAAATCCAGAAGCGAATCCTCCCTGGCAGCAGGAGCAGGGATTTTCTCCCTGCTTTTTGGCTCAGGCAGATCCTGTAGGTTCATCCCTGTGGCTCTGGGCATGGATTTGAGACCAGCCATAGACAAGGGCGTTAGAAAACCAGATTCCCAAACGGAATTTGGATCCATTAAGCTCCAGTGCTATAACCCTTATCCATAGGGAACCATTTAATGGGTGGGTTTGGGCTTCCTGAGTCTCAGTTTCCCCACTGGAGCAGTGAGACCCGCTCCGTTCCCAGACCCCTTCCCGGTGCCTGAGAGCTGGATCCCACATCCAAACCCTCTTTTCTATGGAACATACATGAGGTGCTGATGCCTCCGGAGCAAATTCCCTGAGGAAAGGCTCTGCCAGCCCCTGCCTCGCCCCGGAGCATTGTCCCAAATTTAATTCCTTTCCCAGCTGCAGATGGCCGGGAATTCAATTTTCCCAGATCCCATCAGAGGCTGATGAACGAGCTCCCCAGTCACTGCACACATCCCATTAGTGCTGGCTGGTGCCAGGCGGGATACGGGAATGCTGCGTCTCCTACTCCCATCCCGCTGCTCCCAGTCCCCCCATGGATTTGGCTGTCTCAGTCCATCCAAACCCCTCTCCTGCTGCGTCCCAGAGCTCCTGAAGGCTGTGCTGTGATGCTCGGAGCAGATCCAGGCCAGGGGAGCTTTGGCATGGATAATCCAGCAGGAAACGTCTAGGAATATCCTTAAATCCCAGCCGGGATGTGCTGGTGGCTGGAGGGGACAGGAAGGCTCCATGTGCCAGGGAAAACCTTCCAGGAACGCGGCATCCTGGGGATGCTCATGGTGCCAGTGCCCTGGATGGGTGATACAGGGCTGAGCGGGGTCCTTGTCCATTCCCTATGGAAACACATGGACTAATGACAGGTGAGATAGGGCTGAGTGGGGTCCTTGTCCATTCCCTATGGAAGCACATGGATTAGTGGTGGTTGATATAGGGCTGAGCAGGGTCCTTGTCCCATTCCCTATGGAAGCACATGGATTAGTGGTGGTTGATATAGGGCTGAGCAGGGTCCTTGTCCCATTCCCTATGGAAGCACATGGATTAGTGGTGGTTGATATAGGGCTGAGCAGGGTCCTTGTTCCATTCCCTGTGGAAGCACATGGATTAGTGGTGGTTGATATAGGGCTGAGCAGGGTCCTTGTCCCATTCCCTATGGAAGCACATGGATTAGTGGTGGTTGATATAGGGCTGAGCAGGGTCCTTGTTCCATTCCCTATGGAAGCACATGGATTAGTGGTGTTTGATATAGGGCTGAGCAGGGTCCTTGTTCCATTCCCTATGGAAGCACATGGATTAGTGGTGGTTGATATAGGGCTGAGCAGGGTCCTTGTTCCATTCCCTATGGAAGCACATGGATTAGTGGTGGTTGATATAGGGCTGAGCAGGGTCCTTGTTCCATTCCCTATGGAAGCACACGGACTAGTGATGGGTGATATAGGGGTGAACAGGGTCCTTGTCCCATTCCCTGTGGAAGGACATGGATTAGTGATGGATGACATGGAGCTGAGAGGGTCTTTGTCCTCTTCCTATGGAAGGACATGGATTAGTGATGGGTGACATGGAGCTGAGGGGGTCCTTGTCCCATTCCCTATGGAAGGACATGGATTAGTGATGGGTGACACGGAGCTGAGGGGGTCCTTGTCCCATTCCCTATGGAAGGACATGGATTAGTGATGGATGACATGGAGC